ACCTTATAGCAGCCTTCCAGTACCTAAAGGGAGCCTACAGGAAAGCTGGAGAGGGACTTCTTACAAGGTCATGTACTGAAAGGACAAGAGGAATGGCTTTAAACTCAAAGAGGGTAGATTTAGATTAGATATGAGGGAGATATTGTCTACTGTGAGGGTAGTGAGGCACTGCAACAGGTTGCCCAGAGAGGTTGTGGATGTCCCATCCCTGGAAGCGTTCAAGGCCAGGCTGGATGGGGCTTTGAGCAACCTGGTCTAGTGGAAAGTGTCCCTGCCCATGGCAGGGGAGCTGGAACTAGATCTTTAAGGTCTCTTCCAATCCAAAGCATTCTATAGTTCTATGAATTAGCAAAATAACAGAGTTAAGCTCACATGAGGCAGAACACACTTGAAGTAGCTTAAATTCCCTCCCACTGTATGCTAACTCGGGGAAAAAGAAAAAGTTCTCCTCCCTAAACCATCAATGCTACTTCTTGCTGTGCTAAAGTCTCCTAGTCTTCATTTGTATTGGAAGTACATGAGATCTGACAAGATCAATGTCAATGTAAGCCAGAATAATGAAGTAATTGTATCATTCTAAGTATTTCAACAGCAAGAAGAATATCAAGTTCTTCAATAAAAGAAAAGCAGTACAGGACCATCTAGAAATAAAAAGGGAAAAAACACATCTACCTGAAGAACAGATTTTAAATTGAAAACATTTGAGTTGTAAGTACATGTGTTCAGAATTTGTGGACAGAAGTCAACTGAACCTAGCTAACTGAACCTAGCTAACAGGGAAGCCCAAACTAGTCCTGCTCAGCCACTGTAACTGTCATGGTTTAACCCCAGCCAGCAACCAAACACCACACAGCTGTTCACTCACCTCCCTCACAGCGGGATGGAGGAGAGAAGGGTAAAAGTGAGAAAACTTGTGGGCTGAGATAAGGACAGTTTAACAAGTAAAGCAAAAGCTGTGCATGCAAGCAAAGCAAAACAAGGAATTTATTCACTACTTCCCATCAGCAGGCAGGCGTTCAGAAATCTCCAGGAAAGCAGGGCTCCATCACGCATAATGCTTGGGAAGACAAATGCCATCTCTCTGAACATCCCCCCCTTCCTCCTTCTTCCCCCAGCTGAGCATGACATCATATGGTCTGGAATATCCCTGTGGTCAGTTGGGGTCAGCTGTCCCGGCTGTGTCCCCTCCCAACTTCTTGTGCACCCCCAGCCTACTCGCTGGTGGGATGGGCTGAGAAGCAGAAAAGGCCCTGACTCTGTAAGCTCTCCTCAGCAGTAGCAAAACCATCTCAGCATTATCAACACCGTTTTCAGCACAAATCCAAAACATAGCCCGATACCAGCTACTATGAAGAAATTTAACTCTATCCCAGCCAAAACCAGCACAGTAACAAAGACACCTGCTAAGATGTTCTATCTTTAACCACTGCGTTATTTTGAAAATTGATAGAACAAGAAACTGTAAGAACTTGCTGAAGCTGAATATTGAGGGATAAACACAGGAAACAAGTCCTGCTTCCTGTGGCTTTAGACTAGGTTACAGAAGCTGGACAAAGCAGCACAGTGCCCAAGCTTACCTGTTCTACTAAAATAATCCTGAAAAGTCCAGTTTTATGGCCATCAATCTTGATAATTTTAACAGCAAAATCCACAACTTGATGTCCTTACTTTAATGCACATTCATGTGAACGGACAGTGAACTGCACAGCTAAAACTAATCCCTTGTTCTATCATTTAAAGAATTTTATTTCAGAACGGCACAAGGTTGGGAATGAACAGCCAGCAACATTTAATAGCAGTTTCTTCTCGTCTACAATAATTCTGTAACTGTGGTGTAGGTTTTTTAGTCACAGGATTATATCCAAGTTGAAGCAGTCCCTTGGTGCACAGAAAAATTTCAAGGAAACACTAAGGAATACAAGCCAAACCAAGTAGGGCACTCACCTAGAAGTAAGACATTCTGGATCTAGTCCTGTTCCAAGGACTGTTTAAAACATTTACAGAATGATACTCTGAAGTAAACAGAGAAGAGACTAGAGCCCTGGGGATACATCTTTCAAGTTTTTACCACCATTTGCTTGCATAGTATGTGCTATATTCATACCAAGTTAATACCAAGCAAAACTACAACTATCTCCTATTAACAAGGAAAATGTATTACTGCCATACACAATATATTTCATCTGCTTTCTTCACCAATGTTTATTTGTAAATTTGTACCCAGCATAATCCTTGTGATACAAAAATTATTTCTAATGCTGTAGGTTTTTGTCTTTGTCCAGGAATGTCTAATTTATTTTCTAAAAACACGCTTAGCATCAGCCAAAAAAAAGAGTTAGTCTCAAGGGGTAAGAAAAAAACCCCCCACATACTCTAAAGTAAACAAAGCACAATCTATACAAAAAATATGAATAGAATCTTGCTGCTTGAATATTCTCTTGCATGAACACCTAAAGAGTGTGAATATCACATTCTTTATAGTAAGTTTTATGTCCAAATGCTACATGAAGCATTGACTTGCTGAAAGATCTAATGCAGAAAATTCTTAGTTGGATAGTAGAGGAACAAATAAAAAGAAAACCATAAAATATTACAAATATAAAATACAAAGTAGAAAATTAATGTAAATATTAATTTACAAAATGTAAAATATTCGCTGAGGATGTTCTATACCAATTACTGCAGAAGTCTGCAGTAAAGTGACTTCTACTTACGCTATAAACATTCAGCGGCGAGAAGTTGTTTTTGCCCAAGTTAAGGTAAAGATACAAGATTCTTACATCGCCTGGTTTCTAAACCTGCTCTTAAAAGTGTACTTTTTAAAAGGATTTGACTTTTCCTGGGATAGTCCAAAAGCATTACAAAAGTGTATTTTGTGAGTATTACTTCTGTAACTTCTTAGACAACTTAAAAAGCCCAAACCAAACACACCCAGTTTTTATTTGGAAAAAAAAGCGCCCCAAACTCAAACACCTCAGAAACAAGAAGTTTCATTTTCATGGGAAAAGTCGTGTTGTTGTGTCCCCATCCCCCCCACCTTCATTCAGCAGCCAATATCTAGGATACTTTAAAAATTAAGCATTGACATTTCTGCTCCCAACTCAGAATTCAAAGTTTCTAAACAACATCATTCAGCCCAGAAGGTCTAAGTAAGGAAATACTGTCAAACAATATTACTCAATAAGATGAATCAGAAATCTCTTTTATATTATGCTATCTTTAACATACAACACAGCTGCATGAGACACTCCTTATCTGTTATCCTTCAAAGTTTGCCTAACAGCAGTTTTTATATTTGATCTTACAATATTCTTAAAGGGAAAAAAACCCCAAAACCATATTTCAGATCTGTTCCCTTTAAAGAAGGGCAAACAGAATGCATAAATGCTTACAAAGCTCAAATGTAAGCATTCCTATAAGAACAAGCTTCACTGGTTTCCCTAGCACAATCATCAATATTCATTGTAAATGTTCATCCTGATCTAGAAGAATTTTATTTGTTCTATTTTTCTGATACAGAACCAGTCTAACAGCAAAAGCAGACTGTTGGCCTCTAATAGCACAGTAAGACATACCGAAGCAGCAAAGGCTGCTTTCTGTTGTTCATAAAAGTTTCATTAAAGAGCTTATTAAATGAAGATTACACTGAGGCTCTACACTTGAACGAACTGCTTCTGAAGCATTTTTACAAGCAGTACAGTATAGTTAAGAGCTGGAATTCCTGGCACTCCTCCTACATGTCTGTATACAGGAGAGAAATGGAGTACAACATGACACTTAACAGGCTCAGAAAAACACACAAACCCTTAAGTCCCTCATCTGGTGTTCAGTCACCAGTATGACCAAACCTGGATTTGAGGCAAAAGCCTAATAAAAGCTTTCCATTGCAATTAGTCTAGCTCTATCAACAGAGCCAGCAAGACACAGTTCACGCCAAAGTTATGCTGCTGTATGTTGTAACAGTCTCTAAAGCAAAAGGATTATACCACTATATACCAGCATAACATACATGGGCTGTAGGGCATTTACCAGTACAGAAATAAAATGTGAAAACAAAAATCAGTTTTCTAGCATATCTAGTGTGACACCAGTACATGAGGCATTCAGAATAAAAGTTTAGAAAGGGGATGTTTTTCCTTTAACAAATACAAACATGCAGCCAGATTCTGGGACAAACTATTTCATTTTTTAAAATGATGTGTATAAGGCCCTGTACAACAGTCCTAACTATGTAGTTGCTTAGTCAGTGGTGCAGAACTGGTGCTATGCAGATTCCTCTTCTTTCACCTCCTTAACACAGAGGACAAAAGCTAAAACGTAAAGTGTACGGCACCTAAGATGTAAGGCAAGGTGAGGACCATGGAAACTAGATACATCTGTCTTCCCTATGTTATCAAACTACATATCAATTTTTCTTCTACATAGCTTTAATTGGATAGACTCTTCTCCTGTTTTTGCTGAACTCGTAATTCAAACTGAAGCATGCTATTGAAACTAAGGCCTTAACAATTTACCTGTCATTTACTTTCCTCACCATTTACTTTCTATCTCCTATCTGGAACAACATAGAAATTCAATTTTAATCCCAACTCTTCGTACCTCCCCTCTTTGCACTTTTTTTTTTTTTAAAATTGATTGTATTTCACCAACACAACCGCATCTGAATACAAAATCCACAAGAAATATTTAAACACACACATCCTTTCAAAAAAATGAATACATTTCTAATCATATTCAGCTTCATAAGAAGTATCACAGCATGTGTTTCATGACAAACATCTTTTTATCTCTGCCATTGCTGTATCTAACAATCTATGGACAGAATAAAGTAGCTAGTTTCATTATTCTTTCCAAAGAAGTTCACAGTAAAATTCTATAACCTCACACACAGAAGTTGCTTTACTCTAAGGTCCTGAAGAAGCTTTAAATATGAAATAGGAGAATACAGTGAAGTGATACATAAAAACCTGCTTCTCCCATACTACAAAGCATAGTCTTACCGTTTTAATTTCCGCAGTCTCTGTGTTTATGCTTCCCGAACTGCATTTTGACATCATGGTATCAGCTTGTAGATTAATCACATAATTTGCAAGCTTCGGCTCTTAAAAACAACAACAAAACCTATGAACTATAAAAATGGTTTGAAAAGGGAACTACAATAGCAGGGTTAATTGTGGCAATTCAGTTGCTTATAAACATTTAGATGTGTCAACCCTGCACTGTAACTTGCTGACAGAAAATGAACTACTTAAGTCCATCCTGAACACAAATTATTTTAGTTTAGTATTAGAAATAAAAATTTAAGAGTAATTTAAAAGCTAATTTTTTGTAGTTTAAATGTGCAAGGAAAGCGAACTTCCCTAATCCTCTTTACAGGTTACTATGATTAATATTAATAACTGGTTCATGTGAGAAATACAAGAGTAGTATGTTCTACATAATTTTACTATGTTCGGTACAATTGTACTGCTTTTTCCATGCACATGTACTTTTATTTCACTTGAGTTAAACATTTAAAAAGAAAAAAAAAATCAGAATTCAAACTTCTGCACAGTATTTCAATTTGAAGCCGCAATTAATACAGTAAACTCATGAAAAAAACAATAACCATTTCTAAGTACATTAACACGTTTTTTAATAAAAGTAAAAATATTGTGCAATTAAGATGGTGATTTACATAAAAATACATTTAGCTATACAAGTAAAATTAGGAAAGACATGACAAAGAATTTCATAGATATATTAGTCATTCTATACAACTAGAACTTAAACCAAAAATACCATATCTAAGCAGATCTACAATGTCCTCAAAGCTCTAAAATATTTACACGATATATTCACCTAAAGTATGAGTTTTCCCAGACCTAAAAAGAGAGATTCTGAAGTCATTTTTTTAAAAATCAATACTGAAAACTTAAATGCAGAATGGATCTTGATTAAAATTTCTACTCCAATCAGTTCCACAAAGTTAACAAGAAGGACACTCCCAAGATTACTTCAGTATGTTCATTTTTACCTCAAATGCTGATGCTGAGCTTTTCCAGAGTCTCCAAGCCTGTAATTTTGTTTCACCCTAGGTAACCTAAAAGGCAATATAAAAAAGAGAGCATTTTAACATGAACTGCCATAAAAATCAATTGTGCCATGTGGTAGTCTGCTTTCTTGCATTTTAATATTTAGCTCTGTAGCAACAGCACATGGTCCTCCAAAATCTAATTATCATATGTCCTTTTTTGGCTAGGGATACAGACAGTCAGTGTCTGAAAGATCAGCCTTAAGAGCGCTCAGGAGATATTTGCATATTTTGTTTTATCTGCTAAAGTAATTGCTAGTTGAGTCCAACCAGATTTATGGTTTTCCTCCCCTGTGCTCCTTCCATGCATGTTTCACCTAATACAGTAATGAAAACTTGAAGAAACTTATCATTCAACACATTTAAAAAAAAAAAAACTTAAATAACTTACGTGTTTCCAGAAAACAAAATAAACAGTTATTGTTCTATTTTACAACAAGAATATTTGTGGAGCGCAGCACGGAAAATCTGATGAGTACTGCATTCATATACAAAATAGACCTATGACAATTTTATTCCCAGGGCTACTTTTTAAATTCGTGTTTGCACTATACACACATCCTTTTTTTCTGCACAAAATACAGCAACTTGCTGCTAAGATGCAGTGACTAGACTTAAGTTTATTATAACTGTTATGCCTAGGTTATTCATTTATTCACCACCTCTAGAACATGAACCAGAATATGTATTCCACTGAACCAGAAAATAGCCTAACAACTGAAAACTGTCACACCTCTGCTAAAAATACAGAAATATACTACACTTTATATTTGCAAGAAAAGCAGAAAGGAACAATACAGACAGCATTTAGTCACCCCACCATATAACAAACATGAACAGAAGAAAAAATGGTTCAATGCTGTCAGTAAAGCTAATGCCATACATGGCTTCACACAGCAAATTTACTTTTTTTCCCTAATCGTAGATGGCAAACAAAAAGCATACAGATCAGCAGGTAAAATCTGGAAGAACCAAAAAAAGTATGTAATTCTCCACCAAGCCCAACAATTTCCTTTGGCACATGAAAGCCATAAACACAAGATTGCAGCTTTAATCGATTGGCAGACATGAATTACAGTAGGCCCTTTTAATGCGGAAGCCAACATAAAACCAGACAGGCCACATTCCTGAGATGCAGTCAAGTTCTAGTACAAAACAGCGAGCTTATATCACATTAGCATCTAAATGGTGTTGGTGCACCCACTTAGACAAAAGCTTGTTGCAGTAGACGGTCAATCCTTCCCGTCTGCAGGCCAAAGGCATCTGCAGCTTGCCAATGATCCCAGCCAAACAATAGACACAGCTAGGGGTTACCACAGCAAATAACATAACCAACTACTCCAGCATTTAACAACTGTAACATTGGAGTCCAATCTGACAAGATTTTTTTTTTTACCACATTTAAAAAAAAAAAAAAATAAAAAAAATCTCATTTTACTCTACAGTGACTGGGGATCTTGTTAAAAGAAAGCAAAGGGGTCAAAAAGGAAAAATTACTGACATTGACATTGCTAAAAATTAGATTTCTAGAATGTCTTCTATTGAACAGTAACACCACCATGTTTTTTTTTAAAAAAGGTTTCTATTAAGAACTCAACATTCACGTATTTTATCTACAAGGTAGAAGGTGAGAGTTCCAAGATAACTAGCCATTTGGAGCGTTTAACTAGACACACCACAAACACATCAAATACTCAAAGAATAAAGCAAAAACATGAAAAAAAACCCAGCTGCTATAAAGACATCAAGAGAAGCATCCAACGAGTGATACACCAGTCACTTCTACAAATCTCCAGTGCTCTAGAAACCTCCAAGCAACCACTACCTGCAAATCTCAGCCACGATCTTGAAGTATCTCGGCTATTTGCTACTTAAACATTTGCTAATACAAAAACCAAGTATCCAAATATATCAAAGAGTATGCAGAAGAATATATCAACAGGTTTTATTTTTATTTCCTGGTTTTGTAATTCAGTATTTGAAAATAATCATGTTAATATGACACCTAATTGTTGCTATTAAAAAAAGATTGTCAGAAAAAGGAGGACCGAAATTTGCAGTGAAAGACCTACTGACACATTACAGGCAACAGTCTTAATCTGAAACACACTATCTATGTTCTTGCTCTTCAACATCTTCTACATTTGAAATTAAACAACTATCCCCTCCATCCCAATAATGATGTTAATATTAAATTAAACCATTATTCAAACTGTTAACAACTTGAAAATGAAGTTCTTATCTTGCAAGATCTATGCAATTGGACTCTTAAACTCAACAACAAAGCTATGATGAAGTGAGTTATCTTCCTGCAAATACAAATGAATTCCAGCATGAATCAAAGTCCTATAGCATCAGAGGGGGTAAGGTAAAAACTACCATTACGATTGGGAGGAAAAAGTCTGCCTGGGCTAGCATCCTGTCTCTCTATAATTACAGCTGGTAGCAGATGCGGGGGGGAGGGGGGAAGAAGGCACGACTATAAAAAGGGACTCTTCCTTCTCTTCCATGTGTTATTCCAGTAACCTTTTATTTCAAGTATTTTTCTTTGGTTTATTATGGTACAAACAATAAAGTTAGTCAGAAACCACAGTACCAACTCCATACTACCTCAGATTAACTCCAAAACAAAATACTCCTAACATCCAAGGAACTAAGCCTTCTCAATGGAAGTCAGGAAAAAGAATTACACTAAGGGCACATCTCTCTAAATAAAAAAAAAATCTGAGCTATATGAACACTCTGAAACACATTTAATAGATTTAACAGCAATTAGAATTGAATCACTCCACGTAATATTTAATTCGATTTTTTTTTCAAGCTGCTGCTTGAAAACTAACCCACAGAAGAATCACTGCCAAGTTTATAGATCCTAATTTATATAGGTAACTATACTATCATTATATCAATATCACAAGAAGGGATAATATCTGACCATATCTGTGCATTTATTTATCATTTGGTCCTTTGCTTGGGTACTGAATTATTTACTTGTGATGATTTAGTTTATTTAAAGGTTATGTTCAAGCCTTTCAGGCACCTATGTCTTTCGACAGGAAAGCAATTAAGCAGACATTAAGGCAGTGATTTCTCTCTTCCTCAATCTGGGGGCAAGCTGTGAAGCAAGTACAGTTCCAAAACCACCAATTATTCTTGCTTATGATAAGTAAAAGCAGCAGCTGCCCCCTGAATATAACCCCATGTGGGGATTTCAATCCCATTATTTGCATAAACATAAATCCTTTCTCTCCAATGTGGCAAAAAGTCAAGCTCCCCAAAATACGGGTGTTTGACAGTTTTCTGTTATCTCTGTGCCAGAACATCCAAAATTACTGAGTCCTACATTACAAAAGGCTTTCTCTGAATTCAGTGATTGTGTGATGCAAACCCCAAATATCTGCAGGTCTTAAGTCACCCTCTAGAATTTCCACCAAGTCTAAAATGAGAAATCAGATCTCCTATAGTTGGTCATAATATCAATTTATGTATCACCCAAGAATCAGTGTACAAATGTTAGGCTTAGCTTCAAAAAAGAATGTATTTATTATTAACAGTGCAAACTAACTCATCCTAATGCAACCTTAAAATACGCAAGTATTATGTACTGGTTAGCACATTATTTACTCCAATTACATTTTGGGCTTTGTAGTTTTTGATCTGTCTTCCTAAAATAGAAAGGCTTCTCACCAGTTACACTACACATCTGCACATGTTCTTTCCCTGCAAAGAACTTGCGGGCACACTGCTGGAATTTTCTTTTATGTGAAGCTAGGATGAAGTCAATATTAAGTTCATAAAAATATGTAGTATAAAGAGACTATTTTAACTCCCAAATTCAGATGACACTCAAAGCTGCTCAGATGCCACAGAATCCAACCTCTAGAGAGGTAACACCAGAAGCCGGGGGACGGGACGGGACACGACAAACAAAACCCCAACATACTTCATTGATTCTTTCATTTTATTGAAGAAAAACCTAAGTAATTGGTAAGACATTTCCACAGGCCCACCAATTTTTTTCAGAATACATAAGAAAGTCTAAAGGTGTAGATGAAAATGCTCTGTGGAATAGTGTTGCAAAGGCTCTCACACAAGATGAAGAATAGAATTTCCCATGTATTCTTTTCTTGCAATCATAACATGTGCCTGATTAAAATGATCCAAATTAATTCCAAATTGGGAAAGGCCATTAGAAAAGGAAATTCTTAGCATTTTAACCTACATATCTGGCTAACCAGCTTACTGTGCAGAACAGCCAGAAAGAGAGATGAGAGTCAACCAGGCCAGTGTTAATTATTTGCGTGATTACAATCTCAAATCAACAAGCATAGTACATTCTGCAGCAGTAATGGACCAACGCTAAAAAACTTCGTGCACCATGAAGCACTTTGCACAGATTCCAGGTATTTTGAATTTTCTATTTATAAAAGTATAAATGACCTTTGCCTTAACAGTAGTAATTAATGCTTTTTGTTTGAGTCAAACTAAAAAACTGCCATCTTTCCACTGAAAGCATTAGGCCTCAGCATAGAAGCAGCTACTTAGATCACAAATATGTAGCTGAATACAGTGAACATCATGTTAAAAAGCTACAGCATTTTATAGATACTGTTATTTCTCTCCATGTAAATATATGCAGTTAGAATAGAACATGGTCATTCCTTTACATTCTCTACAGCTAAACAAACTAATATAAGACTTCAGCAAGTCAAACCAATTAACAATTTTTGTTTATTTTAATGCATCCATCTTCACTTTTCAATATTGTCCAATGAAGCACATATTTGCATACTGCCTGGGGTTCAAAGCCGGTGAGAAGCCATAAATATTACATTTTAACTGTATGAAGCTAGAAGCTTCATGTAGTATTTTCATATCACAGGTTATTTGTAGCACTGTTGACCTTCAAGAACAACTGACATGATACCAAAACTGATTCAGATATATTCAAGAATTTACTTGGTGAAAAGGTAGTGATGGGAGAGCTGAAGTCCTTATCTGAGGTAAAG